TTTAACCCGTTCGTCTGTTACTTTTACAGAAGAAGGATTTACTTTAGAAGTAAAACATACCAAAACTTTGCATAATCATGAACGTGTTTTGTTAATTCCTATTTTGTATAATAATGATAATATATCCTTGCGTCCAGTTAGGGCTCTAAAAATATGTTTTCAGCAACCAGCGGTACTCTTTCAGAGAATGCACCTTTATTTTGTTTCCAAGTAGGAAAGTCTGTTAAGATGCTTACGCATAATTCATTTGTTGCAGCTTTAAAACACACCTTATCTGCTTGTGGGTATGATGCATCTCAATATTCTGGACACTCTTTCCGTAGATGGGGAGCCTCCCATGCCTTCGCCTGTAATATTCCTGCGGAATTGATTAAACTGCATGATGATTGGAAATCTAATGCCTACTTGAGATACATTAATATCCCCATGGATCAAAGGTTTTCTATGATGAAGGTTTTTGGTAAAAATATGTAATTAATAGTGTTTGGGAGGTTTGGAGGAATTGTGCATTAATATCGATATATGTATTGCCCAAGTTGAATTGATATTTTATAGTGTGCAAATAAAATATCCGGATCTCCCAAACCCGTGTTTTGTTATTCTTCGATTGAGAATTAAAGGCTACCCACGTCCCAAACCTCTGGCAGAATAAATGTATTTAGTATGTGAATTTTTTCTCTGAATGTAAGTGATCTGTTTTTCCATTTTATCAAATTTTTTCTAATTTTATTTAGTACAGGATTGTAGTTATCATTTAAATTATCTGGGCTGAAAATAATACCTAGAAGTTTAATTTTTGGTTTAATATATTCTGCCAGAAAGTTTGGTACGTGGGTAGCCATCCCCCCAAAAGTAGTGATTTCAGTTTTTGAATTGTTAATTTTTGAGCCCGTAGCTGATTGGAATTTCTTCAAGGTGGCCAAAAGAACGAGCGTCTGTGACGAGGACAGTCAAGTCATTGGCATGCTGTATAGTCTTGATAGTATAGCGGATAGTTGGGAATTCTAACACCCCGTATACCCACATTGTTGGTAATGTTCAAGGCTAGGGGGTGTAGGAGTGAGTAGAGCGCCATGGAGAGCGGGCATCCTTGTTTGACGCCGCGCTCGGGTGTAAAGTATTCCGTGAACGCCCCCCTCACTTCGCAGCACACCCTCAAGTCCGTGTGCAGTATCCCGATCCATTTTAGAATATTCGACGGAATGCCGATGGCGGTCAGTAGCTTGGTCAGGTAGGTACGATTGAGTCTATCGAAGGCCTCCTCCTGGTCGTTGGCGAGTAAGGCCAAGCTGGAATTATTTTGATTACAGTATTTTATTATGCTGTCAATCGAGAGCAGGTTATTGATAATAGATTTATCTTCCCCTGCTCCCAAGTGAGTGTCCAATAAAATTATAACAAGTAAAACAAAAACTTACGCAATTGACACGAACCGGTTTTCGAAATATTATCCTTTTTCAAGTGTCGAGGAATGGTTATGAAATGAGATTTAATTTGCGATTTATATAGTAGTCAGTAAATACAGGTTTTTGATTTTCTAAAAATTATTGAGTGAATCATGTCATATCTTTGATCAGTTGAGGATTAGGATTATTTTTGATTTCTTAATTAGTTGAGTCATATCTTTGATCAAATGAGGATTATAGAAATATTGGATTAGATTTTGATTATATCTGAGAAATAATTCAGTAGGATTAGATTATCTCAGAGTACAATTTACATAAATGAAAAACATAAATAATCAGAAATCAAGAATACAAAAATATAAAATAAATAAACATGAGAAATATTTGATAAAATAAGCGGGATTAGTGAATTGTAAATTGATTAGAACTAACTTTGAATTTTGATTATACCCGAGTAGTAATTTAAATGGATGGATTATCTCGGAGTATAATTTACATGAAAGAAAAACATAAATAATGGCAATTAAATTTACTTGGTTAGATTAAAAGATTAATGCAAATTTTGTTGAAGAAAGTTTGTTATATGCACGAGAAACAAATGTCAAAATCCTAACATATACAATATATACAAAAAAAATAAAATATATATAAGATGAAATAAAATATACCAAAGTCAAAATAAATTGTCTGATCTGGCCTGGCACGGACAGTATTAGATTTCGGGGAAGGGAGGGTTTGATTCTCCCAAATGTACAGGCACTTTATTTAGAAATTAGGATTAAGGGTCTTGATATTGGGTTTTCTTCTGTTCTTATTCTGATCTGAAATTAGAAAAAATAACTCGCCCGATGGGCGAGAAGTATAGTATCTGTTATGTACTGATTGTTTTTAGTTTGCTATGAACAATATTATCATTTAAGTTCTTATTTTTTGAATATGCAACTATCATTTTCTGCTTATAGACTTGGGGGAGTTTCTCATGAAGGCTCTTATAGTGGGCATGAACTATCTTGCTTGCTCAATTGCTGGTTGTATTAAACGGGACAACAAAGGGTGCTATGCCTACATTATGATGAATATTTAGTCCTATAGGTCTTGCTGTATTCAATGTCTCAATCCA